TGTTAAAATATGATTTAACACCACTTGCCCAGGGTGTAAATCTTCCTTTTGGAAAAACTAAATGTTATTGATGCCATTAACAGGGTATGTTAATGTACATTCACATCCAGAAAACTCATTCCACTGTGTTACTTTAGATAAGACTCTGCATATTTCTTATTCTACTCAGGTTCTAAAATGTATTGACAAATAAAGCTCTCTAAATAAAAGAAAGGTCATGGTAACAGCAAACTTCACAGATGTTTGCAGAAGAGAAGCCAAGTCTACTTGTTGTAATCACCCAAATCCAGTCCATAAATGTGAACAACTCTTTGTAGTTTGAAATGTGACTCTATACACCTTATCCATATCATTTATGATTGGTGGCATAATGGGTTAAATCCTTGTGTTGACAGGATTGAAGACCAACGGGCCGGAGGTTTGAATTCAGGGAGAGTGTGGACGTGTGACAGCGCATCTGTTCCCACTTGTATGTGAATGTACAGTTGAATTGTTTGGCTATTTACTGCTTTCTATCAATGTTGTTTGAATTTGTTGAATTGCCTCCCCTGCTTAATTGTTTGGCTCCTCCCCTTCCTGGGGAGGAGGGCATTGCTTCCCTTTTTCATTCCACCATCAAACTGCTCTACAGATGGACATGAGAAAGACTTGGCTCTAAAGCCCTTGATCAAGTTATCTCTCATCACCAATTCTCAGGTTTATACCCTTGGGACTCACACTTTATGCCCAGTTCACCCTGGACAACGTTGAGGAGTCTCAAGCGCCTTCAAACCAGTCTTTTGGCATCAAGAGGAAGACTTTGTGCCTTCAAATATAGGCCATTGTACTGGGGTTGTTATTGTTCTGACTTTCACAGCCATTGAGAAAAGAGGGAACTTAGAAAGCTTCTCAGCTAGAAAACTCCTTGGACCCAAGACTACAGAGTGTAATGTATGTTTCCTTTACCCCTTTGAATATAAAGTTTATGTCTAAGGAAGATAACTCATTGTGAACAATAAAGCCTATTTCGAGTTATCTATAGTGTCTTGATCCATGGGTGTTCCAGTTCTCTAAAGGAGGGCAAGAAGCAATCCCCTGGGGAAAAGATGTCACATCCATGTTTCTTTCACTAAGACCCAGGCATGATGGCACAGGACGAGCTCCCTCTGTCAGCTCCAACTCCCCATGTGAGGACATGAGAGAAACCTCCCACAAGGATGGTAAAACATTAAAACATCCGGGCATCCCCTTGGCAACATCTTGCAAATGGCAAATTCTCTCACAACAGAAGCGACTTGCAGTTTCTCAAGTCACTCCTGACACGGAGCAACTTGAGAAACTGATGACTTGGACAAATGACTCTCACATCTCTTCAAGATCCTTGTGGCCAAAGTGTTTTGGATCCAAGCTCTCTGAAGCACTGTATCCTTCTATACAAGCCTCACAGTGCTTTTCAATCTTCAAAGGTGGCCTTTCTTCCACCTCTCATCTATGTGAGAAAGCAGTGTTTTTTTCTCCAAATTCTGAACCGCTATGATGATCCCTTCTTTGTTGTCCTTGTGCATGTAGACAAAGACCTTTCATTCAGACTAGTCTTTGGCAATTGACCTTGCTTGCTGTGTAAGAGGCCTTTAAGTAGACAAGTGAATATAGCACTGAACAAAGCATGTAGAATAATCACAGGATGTCTCAAACCTACACCTGTTGATAGACTTTATAAGCTAGCTGGCATTGCCCTCCCTGATGTGTGACAGGAAGTTGCTGCTAACTGTGAGAGAAATAGGATTGAACACTGTGAAAGCCACCCACTGTATGGCTACCAGCCTTCTCTCAGTAGACTGAAATCAAGGAAAAGCTTCATGACAACCACCACTCCTCTTAATGTAAAGTTGCTCCTGACACACACACACAAAACTTAGAATCATAGAATCGAAGAGTTGGAAGAGACCTCATGGGCCATCCAGTCCAACCCCCTGCCAAGAAGCAGGAATATTGCATTCAAATCACCCCTGACAGATGGCCATCCAGCCTCTGTTTAAAAGCTTACAAAGAAGGAGCCTCCACCATGCTCTGGGGCAGAGAGTTCCACTGCTGAACGGCTCTCACAGTCAGGAAGTTCTTTACTTGTTTTGTTAATACTTTGACCCAGTCTATGTTTTATTTCTACTTGTCCAGTTCAGTTTAATTTAAACCATCTTGAGTCATATTCATGGGGAAATGCTATTTGTGAAATTGTATGAAGTAGTGTATATTATGGGTTGTGGTAGTTTTTTCGGGCTATATGGCCATGTTCTAGAGGCGTGCTCTCCTGATGTTTCGCCTGCAACTATGGCAAGCATCCTTAGAGGTAGTGAGGTCTGTTGGAACTAGGAAAGTGGTTTTATATATCTGTGGAATGACCAGGGTGGGACAAAGGACTCTTGTCTGTTCATGCTATTTGAATGTTTCAACTGACCACCTTGATTTAGCATTTGATGGCCTGGCAGTGCCTGGGGCAATCTTTTGTTCAGAGGTGATTAGAAGTCCCTGATTGTTTCCCCTCTGATGTTTTGCTGTTGTAATTTTAGAGTTTTTTTTAATACCGGTAGCCAGATTTTGTTCGTTTTCATGGTTTCCTCCTTTCTGTTGAAATTGTCCACATGTTTGTGTATTTCAATGCCTTCTCTGTGTAGCTTGACATGGTGGTTGTGAGAGTGGTCCAGCATTTCTGTGTTCTCAAATAATATGCTGTGTATATTATGGCTGTCAAAAGTGGAGTCAAGAAAACTTTGGTTTAACAGTCCATTCTAGTCCACTCAGCAAAATGTATTATCTGGCCAAATTTTCAAAACACTCTCCAGTTGTACCACTTTCAAGTAAAAATACTGTGAAGCGCAATTGGAAAGGGGAAAAAGCGTGTGGCAGCTCTACCGGAATAAGGAAGCAATGTGCAGACGGGCTGTACGTATTAAAAGCTATCCAGGCTTCTATTGCAGGAAGTAATGGGTCTACAAAGGACCCGTGTAGATTAGATATGCTGAAGGAAAACTTCCTAATAAGAACACACTGACATTATAACAGTCAGACAATAGCAGAGCATTCAAGCAACTGTATTTACATGAAAAATGTGGCCAGCTGTTTCCAAAAGGCAAATAATAAATGAATGGAGTGCGGCAGTAAAATACTGTGGACATAGCATGGCACAGAACTGTTTCTTACCGTCCTGTGAAAAGTTCAACATTAGCTTGAACTATGGAAAGTCAACATTAGTGTGACTTTCCATACATTTTCTACACTAACTCTTCTCTAAAGGAATAATTAAGGTGGATCACTATTCTAGGAAGCTTTTTGATATTAAAATGCATTAGAGACAATAACTGTATTTATTACAAGAATCAGAGTATATATAAAAAACATATATAATCTGATTCTATGCACACTTACCTTTTAGAAGGGCCCTTTGTTGACAGTGTGGCTTATTCCTAAGGATGGATGCACAGAATTGCAGCCTTAGCATGAATTAGGATGAACATGCTAATATTCTGACATAACCAGAACTTGCACAATGTGTGTCAGAAGGAAAATTAATTCATGCACACAGCTTCATGGTGTGCAACAACTAAATGTATAGCTTCGTCTGGTTACAACTAAGCTTCCAATTGTTACAGACCCAGTTGAACACTGTTGTCATGCCGGCAGGTTTAAATCACTCTCTTTTAATCAGAATTATCTTAAAAGCAGTGTTAAGAACATTATTATTATCATTATTATTATTATTATTATTATTATATTATTATTATTAGTCGTGTCAGGAGCGACTTCAGAAACTGCAAGTCGCTTCTGGTGTGAGAGGATTGGCTGTCTGCAAGGACGTTGCCCAGGGGACGCCCGGATGATTTGAAGTTTTTATCATCCTTGTGGGAGGCTTCTCTCATGTCCTCGCATGAGGAGCTGGAGCTGATAGAGGGAGCTCATCCACCTCTCCCTGGATTTGAACCTGTGACCTGTCGGTCTTCAGTCCTGCCAGCACAGGGGTTTAACCCACTGCGCCACCGGGGGCTCAAGAACATTATGAATGTAGTATTATGCTGTAATACTAGAGTGCTACCTCAATATCATATGTAAAATTAGAATGTAAAGAAATTTGGTTTTAAATTAAAGAGCATGTCTGTTCTGTTAAAGCACGTGTGTTAAACTCAAGGTCTGTAGGCCAAATTCAATCCTCCGTCTTTTCATGTGTCCCTCTGGATGCTGGACTACAACTCCTGTCTTCTTCATCATTGAACCTCATGACTAGATGGGAGTTGTGATGGTGACAAATGGAAGGCTACAGTTTGTTCTGTTTAGTTAAAATAGTGGACTGCTTACTGAAGGGTGAGTAGTCCAAAGCCATGTCAAGGTGAGCTTCCGACTGTCAGTTCTAGCTTCTGCCAACCTAGCAGTTCGAAAGTATGCAATGTGAGTAGATCAATAGTACCACCTCGGCAGGAAGGTAAAAGGGCACTCCATGCAGACATACCGGCAAAAAGATCAGGCTTCTCGGCATGGAAAGCGGAAGACCTTTACCTTATTTGTGCATTGTATGTCGTCGTTCATTGTATTAAACACATTGACTGTTTGCCTTATATGTGTACTGTAATCTGCTCTGAGTCCCTCCGGGGAGATAAAGTGAAATATAAATAAAGTGTATTATGGAGTTTGAATTGAGATACCAGGCTTGTGGATAGGTTGCTTCACTTTAAAATGCCCTTTAACCTTTCCCCCAACCACAGAGCCACAACGCTGCTGGATTGCAGTTCCCATGATACCCAGTCAGCAAGGCAGATTATCAAAAGTGATGAGAGTTGTCATCCAGTAACAAACTGAGTAGAAACTAAATGGCACTGACCACTAGTTGGCCCCCTGTATCCATGGATTCTTCATTTGTAGATTCAACAACCCTTTCAAGGCAACCATAAGACTGATTTGGTTCTCGATGAAAATGAATTTGACACCTCTGTGTTCAAAGTGTGTACATTCAAGGAAACTGACAAGTAATAACCTGGAAAGTTATTTTTAGTATTCATACACTTTACAACATCATAGCACATATTCAGAAAAGATTTAGGATTTTTCTTTAAAGGCTTTGAGCAATAGGTCTGCAGCCAGTCCAGGAGAAAGAATCCCACTGACGACTTTTCCTTCTAGAAGGGGAATCTGATCTCTCACTGCCGAGTGATTCCGGAAATGATACAGCATACTTTCTTGGATTACATTCCACATCCACACTTTCTGCTGCTTCTTTCGCTTGGTGAGCAACTCACCGCTTGTGAGCATGAGTTCTCGGAATTCGATCATGTTATCCCATATGTCAGTGATGCCTTCTCCAGTTTTGGCAGAGATCCGCATGACCTATTTGAATGAGAAGATTTTCTTTAAAAACCCAAACTATAAGGTTGCTTAGGCCTGACCTAAACAGGAATTTTGAATTAGACACCACCAACAAAACCAACCTCAAACTCCATCTTAGATTCATACATATTAAATGGCAGTATGTTTGGGATATATAGTAGTAAAAGTAAAGGTTTCCCCTGACATTAAGTCTAGTCGTGTCTGACTCTGGGGGGTTGGTGCTCATCTCCATTTCTAAGCCACAGAGCCGGCATTGTCCATAGACACCTCCAAGGTCATGTGGCCAGCATGACTGCATGGAGCATGCATGTGTGTGTGTGTATACACACACATACTTATACAGTAAAACAATGACATTGCATCTATAAAAGGTAGCAATAGCACTTTATTTTTTATTACAAGCTACCATGGACATAATTTTATTAGTTATCTAAAAGTTCAGCAACAACCACCAAAACTGACATCAAACACACCAACTTTCAAACATATCCCACACAATATGGAATTATGTTTATTACTTATACCAATATTGCATGAAAATTAGGAATTTTTTGAAAACCAGGCAATGAATGCCTATTTGGGAAGGAATCATGAGTCAGATAGTATTAACATTCTTTCACTTATGTCTTATATTTTTTTTTTACTAAAGGCTGTTTCGGATATACCAACCTTTGGCCTCCAAACCTTTGAACGTTTGCGGAGCAATTTCAGAGCACTGACGTATTCTGCTTGAATCCTCCGCGCTGGCACCACGAGATCTCCATCAGCTTTGGTTACTGCAACGAGATCTGCCATCTCAATTATCCCTCGTTTGATACCCTGGGGAAAAATACAAAGAAGAAAAAGCAGAGCTCAGAAGAACTGATTATAACCAATTTACATCTTCTAAGAGACATACAGATCTTTTGAAATAAAGCACCCAAATGTTCATAAACTCTACCACATAAATGAAGGCATCTAACGTAACAGATTGGGGAAGGGGTAGCTTTTACAAAGATTTCCCATTTCTTAGAAAAACTACATTTATACGTATTTATTATTTATTTATCGCATTTGCATCCTGCCCTTCTCACCCTGAAGGGGACTCAGAGCGGCCTTACAACAGGCAACAATTCAATGCCATACATATACATGTCCATGAAATAAATACATTACAATACATTAAAATCCAAGTAAGCTGGGCTGGAACCATTTAGGGCTTTATAGCCTAAATCCAGCACTTTGAATTGTGCTCGGTAGTAGACTGGCAGCCAGTGGAGCTAACGCAACAGGGGAGTTGTATGCTCCCTGTATGCTGCTGGCTTCCATCCACTGGATCACTTGAAGCTTCCTAAAAGTCTCCAAAGGCAATCTAATCTGAAATGCTTGTGCCTTCAGAGGTGTTTTTGTGTTGTGTGCCTTTAAGTCATTTCCAACTTGTGATGACCCTAATGTAGAGTTTTCTTGGAAAATTTTGTCCACAGGGGGGTTGCCTTTGCCTCCTGAAGCCGAGAAAGTGTGACTTCCCAAGACCACCCAGTGGACTTCCGAGGCTAAGCAGGAAATCAATGCCTGATGTCCCCTATGTATGGAGAGCTATGAGCAAATTAAGGATCAATAAAAGGAGTAGCCTTAGGTTTTAACAGGCATTTGTCTAAGGAGTAACCAAACAGTTAACTTTGCATCCTAAAAATAAAATAGTAATTAATACAAATAACAAATTGTTACCCACTCAAGTTGCACTGTTATGGGTTTTTGATGGATGACTAGCACAGTATGCCCTCCTCACACCAGTAAATGTGGCCAAAATTGACTCCTGCATTTTGTTGCTCAGTTCTGACACGGCTAGCCGACAGAATATTTTGAAAATCTGTTACAGTTATAGAAAGCTTTGATTTTTGCCAAAAAGCAGCATGAATACCTGCAACTCGTCACCTCCTGCTGGTGGTAGCAGCAATACAAACATATCCACCATATCAGCAACAGCAAACTCTGACTGCCCCACACCTGAGAAGCAAAAGCAGATATTGACCACTCACTTCGAAAAGCCAAGAGGCAAACTGCACTGGTCAAAAAAAGGGGAAAATCTTCAGTTACAGGGGTGTATAAAAAGGAAAGGTTTCCCCTGACATTAAGTCTAGTCGTGTCCAACTCTGGGGGGTGGTGCTCATCTTCATTTCTAAGCCAAAGAGCCGCCGATCTCCGTAGACACCTCCTAGGTCATGTGGCTAGCATGACTGCATAGAATGCTGTTACCTTCCCACCGGAGCGGTACATATTCATCCACTCACATTTGCAAGTTTTCAAACTGCTAGGTTGGCAGGAGCTGGGCCTAACAGCAGGAGCTCACCCCGCTCCCTGGATTCAAACTGCCAACTTTTCTGTCAGCAAGCTCAGCAGCTCAGAGGTTTAACCCGCTGCTCCACCCATTACAAAGGTGTGTGTGTGTGTGTGTGTGTGTGTGTGTGTGTGTGTGTGTGTGTGTATATATATATATATATATATATATATATATATTCCATTGCCTTGTGGGGATATGAAATTAAAAGTGTCACTTAGCAGAATTTATCACAAGATAGCAGGACCACGAGGGCCAGATAACCAAAAGATAACACCAAGAACTGGACTCCTCCCCATTCCCTCCACTGTTCTAGATTTCATTAGATATATAGCAAAACACAGCTACAAAATGGTCTCACTGCAGAAGCCAGACTTGAGATTATAAAAATACAGGAAAGAGTTTCACTGACCTACTGTTTCTACAAGAACAATGTCATAGCCTCCTGCTTCACACAACAGAATAGCCTCGTTCGTGGTCCGCGTCACCCCACCTAGCGTCCCTCTGGTTGGGGACGGCCTGATGTAAGCATTCATGTCTCTTGCCAACTCGGTCATTCGCGTCTTATCACCCAAGAGAGAACCTGAAGGATGGAAGAGAATTACACAACAGCTCAAACATTCAAATATAATGGGCTTTTGCGCCAAACCCAAATCAGGCTTATTCTTCAAAAAGAATGAACATTACCATTTGCAATCTTCACGAAGCACTGTCTGAGTAAGACATTTCTTTCGTCAGTGTTGTGCCTATATTTCCTGTAACTTCCCTGAGTAGCTTTGCAAAGAATAAGGCAGCTACAGGTGATGGCACGAGAAGGATCAGAGAGTTCCTTTCCAGAACTATTTTCCATTAATGGTTTTTGGCAAACCTTAGGTGAATTTTACACTTTTGTTAACAATCACACTGAACTTTTAGAATGAGACAAGCTACATTTAATAAACCAATGCCAATGCTGCCCCAGCAATAGATAAGCAAGCAAGCAAGCAAGCAAACAGGTCTGTAGTACACTGACATTGAGCAAATGTTTTATACCATAAGTTCTGGTAGCCTAGAACTTCACTACCTTCAGTAGGGTGTATCCCATGTAAAGCCAAAGTGACTAGTGGCCAAATTAAATAGTGGCATTTGTTCCTTTGCTTCTTTTTAATTTTCTTAAAATAATTTTTGAACAATTAACACAATACATTGTTAAAAAAAATGCTGCCCAGGTAGACAAGGAGCATGAGAAATGACTAGCACTCACCACCACTAGTGCTTGAGGATGGGTCCACTGCCAACACAGACACCTTGTGTCCTCTTTCGGTGAGCATTTTCCCAAAGCATTCAATAAAGGTAGATTTCCCAGCACCAGGAGGGCCAGACAACCCTAGAGAGCAGGATAAAAAGCCTTGATTCTAGCACACCATGCATTCAAATCCAGCTCAGTATATGAGTATCTGCATAATATAAGAAACCAAAAACCTCAATATTGCATTGACTAAGCCCTAAATGCATGGACTATTAATGTTACATTCAGTGTGCTTAGGATTACTCTTGTTCCCTAAGTTATAAAACCTTTTTTGTTGACACGACCAAACAATAATTGAGCATCTACATAGCATATTTCTCTTTACAGGCTAGAACAGGCCTGCACAAGCTGTGGCTCTCTATATGTTTTTCAAAACAGTAATAAGTTATATATAGATATGCTTTGTAGAAATTAGTCTTGTGCATTTGCATAGCATCACTATCGGTTTCTGTTTGTTTCATTCGTAAGGCCCCATTTTCATTTTTCAGCACCTCTCCTGAAAAGGGTGCTTTTCCAAATTAGATTTTTCATCCCAGGTCTGAAAAAAAAACGAATATTTTTGTCCCATTGATGGCAATGGGCAGGCTTCCCACACTCCCCTTCCCCTCAGTTTTAGGCACTGCCAGGTGTGGGTGTTTTTTAGGTCTGCACACCACACACACTCTCTCTTTCCAAGGAGAGTGCATGTAAGGCTTGCAGTTACCTTTCCCACTTTCCTCTTGTTTCACTGATATTTTTGCACCAGTGGGGGGTGTACCATTTTTTGCCATTTGAAAGAATGAAACAAACAGTTCAAAAACACGAATTAAATGGCTGAAACGGTTTCTGGGCCCATGACTAGTAGAAATTACGTTTACTGAAGGAAAATAAGGAAATCTGCAATACTGGCAGAACAGTTTTTAAAAAATGAGCCAGTGCATCAGGAACTGTTTTGGAAGCATTGGAAATAACAGGACTACTCAGAGAAAAACGAGCTAACAATGTTTTTAAGAGAAAAACTGTAGGTTTTTTTTTAAAAAGAGCGGAGTTTAGTGACTGAGTCCAGAAGAAAAAACGGTGCATGGAATTAACTTTAACCTTGTGTGAAAATATCGTATTTCATCATATAATAGTTGCCATTGCATATAAGCCGTACCTCCAGTTTTTTAGGCCCACATAATAGTCATAACCCTCCACCCTTTCCCCAAAATAATTTGAGGAGGAAACTGCAGCTATTATGTGATGAAATATGGTAAGTAGCTGTGCTTATAAGTAAAAGTAATACTTTAAGTAGAAATATGTATTTGTGTTACGAAAATTTGGTGTTGATGACCTATAGAGGAGAAAGATATAATACCTATAATTGCAACCTGACAAGTTTGAAGTGACATATAACCTTTTTTTTGTTTATTTAAGTTATTATAAGGGAATATGTCAGAAACTGTGTAATCTATGTAATCTTTGTAGGTTGTGACATTTGTTAGGTTTTTATCCTTTTTGTGCTTGTGTTATTTTACTTTATGAATACTCTTAATTTTGTATACTCATCGTTTATACACGGTAGTTAAAATACCTAGGTGACTAAAATTTGGTTTTTTTTAAAGAAGAAACAATAAGATATAAGGATATCATTTTAAAAAACTAAACATAGTCCATGCAATACCAGTTTCACAAAACAATAATGCAGAAATATGATTCCTTAAAACCTTAAATGAACCACATTTCCTTAAAAACTGGCAAGCGGAAACACACCAGAACAAGAAGAACTGAACAAACGAAAGTGAACTGACCCACTCTAAAGGCTAGTGGTTTTCCTTTATTTAACTGCTCTTGTTCTCTGTGGTAGGATAGTACCTTCTGAAGGAGCACCTGCGCAATTTCTTTCTTCCGGCTCTGGGAGGATTCTATGAGAGTAATGGCTTCAGCCAAGCAAGCCCTGTGTCCTTGGATGAGTCCATTGTACAGTCTGTCTAGCAGTCTTTGCTCTTTGTGGGAGAGCTCCCAGGCCTGCTGCTCTAACGCTGCTGGATGACAGGGCCCAGTCTTTAGACCCTTCAAAGGCAGGATCCTCCTTGAACAGCACAACTGAAGCAAATCAGCCTGCTGGCCATATGGGAAAACAGGCAGAGTGCTGGACCTCCAACAGAAATTCTTCAAAGGCTTCCGATTATTCTTGAGAAAATGGGCAAGAGGAAATCGCCGCAGCAGTGATGATCCATTCATGTTGTCTTGCGTTAGCAATTTCTGTATTTAGTAAACCTAGTAAGAGAAGAAAAATCTATCTCATTTCAACATCATCTCAGGTTTTGAAAACGCGATATATATTTTTAGCCATTTTTCTAAACATTTAGGCTGAAACGACATGATCATATTAACAATAATAAGGAATACTTTATTTATAGACCACCCTCTCTCCCCAAGGGGACTCAGAGAGGTTTACATACAAAACGGCAAACATTCAATGCCATAATCAACAAAAATGCACAAATCAAAACAATACAAAATAGCATCAATAAACTTATATCAACAAGAGAAAATAGAAATCAAATAAAATAAATATTAATATTTACATAAAACATAACTACAAAAAAAACCCACATGTCCCCCGAAAAGTTAAACGACTAAAATGCATTAAAAAGTGCCTAACATATCAGTAATGATTTGAAATTTACCGTAGCAACCTATATGATGCAAGTAAATTTGCCAGCGTTCTAGTGAAATTGGCTTAAGGTGTACTAGTCCTCCTCCTCTCCATACACTAAAGTGCATTTTCAAAAGTTTTTTAAAGGACAGGAGGGTGAGAGCCGTTTTTATTTCTTTGCGAAGTGAGTCAGAGGCAGGGAGCGATCACGGAGAACGTGCCTTCTCTCGTTCCCACCAACTGTGATTGAAACAGGGATGCGACCGAGAGCAGGGCCTCCTCTGCTGACCGCATTACGCAAGGTAGTGTATATAGAGAGATACGGTTTGACAGATAGCCTCGACCCAAACCATTCAGGGCTTTATAGGTAATGACCAACACTTTCCATTTAGCCTGGAAGCAGACCAAACCAGAAAGTTAACTAACTGATTTCCATACAGAAGAGGATCAACACTCTTGACACAGGAATAATTGGTTATTATTACTGTGGACGTGAATGTAACACTGAAGCATTTGGTTGGTCTCAACAGGAAACAGGATGCTCAGCTAGAGAGTCTTTTGGTCCAACACACCAAAGCTCTTTTAAAGTTTTCAGAAGGATAGTCTATGGACTGAAATATAGGAACCAAATGGGTGTTTCCTATATCACATCCCGGTATTTGAATTTCTACAATAAACCCAGAGTGAGATGTACACCATGTGGCAACATTTACATGTTATGTCCTTGAATCTGTCTCTATATAATTTTTTCAACTATTCTGCCAAAAAGTCCCTCTGTATTATTATTATTATTATTATTATTATTATTATTATTATTATTATTTTACTGACACAAAAACACAGTATGTCACAGCAAATGAGATCTATATGCTGGATTTCGTATCACAAAATCACGTCGAACACTTCCCAAGCGTCTAGGACTGTGTGATGTATTTTCGAATGATGCACGCAGATCCAAGTAAGGTGGCCTTTTGCAGTTGACAGATCGTGATTTTGTCAATATTTATGGTTTCCAAATGCCAGCTGAGATCTTTTGGCATGGCACCCATTGTGCCAATTACCACTGGGACCACTTGAACTGGTTTATGCCAGAGCCCTTGCAGTTCGATTTTGAGGTCTTGATAACGGCTGAGTTTTTCCTGTTTATTATTATTATTATTATTATTATTATTATTATTATTATTATTTTCAGATTCCATTGAAACACTGTTAGGATGTTAGTATTCACATGATTAGCCACTTTGTTAGCCGCTTTGTCCCCTCTGGGAGAGAAAAAGAGGGATATAAATACCACTGCTGTCATAACTACTACTATTTCTTACTCATTCCTTTGGAAATATGATGGTATATCTTTCTGAGTAACCATTTAGGAATGTTCTAAAACATGATTAAATATTCAAGAAGGAATGGTAACATAGAAATGCCAGAATTTATCTTCCAAACAGGAGCACAAAAAGTTCATACTACACACAACAATGAAGGTGTTAAACAAGTTTTTAAAAGAAAACAAGAGCTCAATGGAGGCTACTTCAGATAACCTGGACACAGAACATTAAGATATCTTTTACTGTATACCATGTTATGGGACATAGGAAGACTGAAATGTACTTTATTTAAGTGATGCTGACAATCATCACCAACATCAGCAGGATCTGAACATCAGCAACTCCTACTACCTTCACAAAAATCCAAATTTCTGTCCCTTTGCACATCATAAACTACCACTTGCCAGAGTTTAATTTTAAGAAGACTATGGGAATGTTAATAGATAAAAAATCAAAACAGTCCAGTATTACTAATTACAATTTAATCCTATATGCTGGGGATGTTAAGAAAAGCCACGGGTGTGAAGACTTACTTAATATAACTGTATCTTCCCAGATCATTTTGGGCTTTTCATGTGTGTGTGTGTGTGTCAGGAGCAACTTGAGAAATTGCAAGTCATTTCTGGTGTGAGAGAATTGGCCATCTGCAAGGACTTTGCCCAGGGGACGCCTGGATGTTTTACCATCCTGTTGGAAGCTTCTCTCATGTCCCTGTATGGGAAGCTGGAGCTGAGAGACAGGAGCTCGCTCCTTCTCACGGATTTGAACCACTGACCTTCAGATCAGCAGTCCAGCCAACACAAGGGTTTAACCCTGTGCGCCACTGCTGTGTGTTAATGCTAATTATTGGTGCATTATACAGAAATACATATGAAAGAAAAACTCACAATCATAACTACACAAACAGATCTCGTATCACATTTGAGACTGAAGGTGTATCAACACTGTACAGCTGCACCGCTTTAAGTGTCCTTGTTCACTGCTGGGATTTGTAGTTTGGCCAGGCACAAGAACTCTTTAGCAGAGAAGGCTTATAACCTTGTGAAACTACAACTCTCACTATTCCATATGGTCACCACATGAATTTCACAGGGTTTTCTTAAGCAAGGAATACACAGAGAGTTTTACCAGTGCCTTCCTCTGAAATATAGCCTACACAACCTGGGATTCAATGGTGGTCTGGTCTCCCATCCAAGCACTAACCAGGTTAGGCCCTGCTTAGCTATCAAAATCAGATGGAATCTGGTGCCTTTAGGTTGTGGGACCATCTTCACAACAGAATCATACTATTATGATTCCACTTTAACCGCCATGGGAAAATGTAATTTTTCTGTTGTTTTGAGTCTAATTTTGCTGTATTATTTTGGGCTAGGCCTCATGTTAGCCGCCCGAGTCCCCTTTGGGGAGATTTTTTTTTTTGGTCGTGTCAGGAGAGTCCTGTTGTGAGAGAATTGGCCGTCTGCAAGGACGTTGCCCAGGGGACGCCCGGATGATTTTTGATGTTTTATCATCCTTGTGAGAGGCTTCTCTCATGTCCCCGCATGAGGAGCTGGAGCTGATAGAGGGAGCTCATCCGCCTCTCCCCAGATTCGAACCTGCGACCTGTCGGTCTTCAGTCCTGCCGGCACAGGCCTTTAACCCACTGCGCCACCAGGGGCTCCTTTTGGGGAGATGGTGGTGGGGTATAAATAAAGTTTATTATTACTATTATTATTACTACTATTATTATTATCCCACTGTGTTCTGGGAGTTGTAGTTTTGGGAGGTCCTGGGACTCTCCAAGTGAGAAGTCTAAGGGCACATCTACACTATGAAATGGATGTGGTTTCACACCACTTTAACTGTCATTGCTCAATACTACGTCATCCTGGGAGTTATAGTTTTGCAAGGCCCTTAGCCTTCTCTGCCCAAGGCAGCTGGTGCCTCACCAAACTACAGATCCCTGGATCCCATAGCCTTGAGACTGGGCATTTAAAGTGGGATGAAACTGCAGTGTTTTTGCATTGTAGATGCACCCCCAAACTCCCCTAATCCCAGAATTCCATTGGCTGGTAAAGCGGGATCACATTGCTTTAATCCTATTGTGAGGATGGGCAATGTTTGATAATGTTATTGCATCCAAGCCAAGGATTATTGACTTTGTAAGCAGGGAAAGAGCAACAAGGCTGCTCCCTTTGAGCCGTGAAGCCTGGAACAAAGAGGCCAGAGGCCTTGATCCAGCCTGACCGACCCCCTCCTCTACCCGCAAGAAGGAAATGAACTGACCTTCAGAACCTTTTACATCCGGGACACGTCAGAGTGCGTACTAAAGCAAGCACGCAAATCGAAGCACGACCTGGTCTCGCCCCTCAAACTCCCTGACGACGTATGTGCGCATGCGTGGAAGCCAGGCAGGGGATGCAACGTACAAGGGTTTCTGCGCAGGCGCAAAAAACTATAGCACCTACTACACTGTAACTCCAGCGATGCCCATAGATCTAAGAAGGAATAGAGATCCGTTCTTTTTTGCCCGCTATTGGATTCCTTGAATGCCTTCTTCTGCTTCTCAGTCTAATTAGAATAGGATTGATTGACAGTGCTGCCAACTGTACATAGAAAACAATACTGTAGTTTTAAAGGTGATAAGATTCTTTGGGCTCCAATACAGAGCGGAAAGGGGAGTATAAATTAAAATAATCATAATAATAAGAATAAGAATAATAGTGTTTGACTTGTGATTTTGTGATACAAAAGTGTTTGACTTGTGATTTTGTGATTTCGTATCACAAAATCACAAATCAAACATTATTATTATTATTGTTATTATGATTATATATATATATATATATATATATATATACACACACACACTGGATTTTGTATCACAAAATCACAAGTCAAACACTATTGTTATTTTTATGATTATATATATTTATGCTGGATTTCTTATCACAAAATCACAAGTCAAACACTATTATTATTGTTATTATTATGAATATATATATATATATATATATGCTGGATTTCATATCACAAAATCACAAGTCAAACACTATTATTGTTATTATTATGAATATATATATATATATGCTGGATTTCTTATTACAAAATCACAAGCCGAACACTATTATTATTGTTATTATGATTTTTATATATATATATATGCTGGATTTCGTATCACAAAACCACAAGTCGAACACTACTATTATTATTGTTATTATGATTATTTTGCAAATGGCCACCACACACACACACACACACACACACACACACACACACACATATATGCTGGATTTCGTATCACAAAATAACAAGTCGAACACTATTATTATTGTTATTATTACTCAAATCACAATACTGCCAAGCAAGCATGCATAGGATAGTAGTCCAAATGATCACCAGCTTATATCTAGTTTATCTCCCAGTGCTGGACTAGAAGAAGTTCATTTGGTTGCATCTATACGTCTTTTGTACTCACTACAATCCTCTGCATGGAAGGCCATTTCCCAGAAGCATTCTCTCCTGACGTTTCACCCACATCTATGGCAGGCATCCTCAGAGGTTGTGAGGTCTGTTGGAAACTAGGCAAGTGAGGTTTATATATCTGTGGAATGTCCAAGGTGGGAGAAAAAATTCCTCCCTGCTTGAGGCAAGTGTGAATGTTGCAATTGGCCACCTTGATTAGCATTGAATGGCCTTGCAGCTTCAAGCCTGGCTGATTGCTGCCTGGAAGAATCCTTTGTTGGGAGGTGTTAGCTGGTCCTGACTTCTGACTTTTGGAACATGGCCATACAGCCCGGAAAACTCACAGCAGCCCAGTGATTCCGGCCATGGAAGCCTTCGACAACATCCTCTGCATGTCTGTTTAGAAATATTTTCAGTTGACTTGCTCCCAGGTATCTATAGATCAGCCATGGGCAAACTTGGGTCCTCCAGGCGTTTTGGACTTCAACTCCCACAATTCCTAACAGACGGTAGGCTGTTAGGAATTGTGGGAGTTGAAGTCCAAAACGCCTGGAGGGCCCAAGTTTGCCCATGGCTGATCTAGAGTATTGCAAATGAAATTCCTGCAAAACATAGAGTGGGCTACACATAGTTTAATGATCAATTTGGAAGAGATGGAATGGGACGCATCTTTTTCCCAAAGTAGTATTCATTCCTACCACTTGATGGTGCTTGAAAGCAATTAACATTTTCACCTGCTGAAAGCATTAATCTAGAAGGTCAAATTCCACCAAGCCTCCTGCTAGAGAATAAACTCACTGAGGGTTGCTGAAAATAATTGCCTTCCTTCTTTTTTCCTAGGCTTTCTCACCTTTGGCGTTCCTAGCTCCCATTCTCTCTCTCCCTCCCTGGCATATCGGATTCATCTTGATATGTTTCTTTGTCTAATTGGTTTCCTGTAAGCCTCGCCACAGGATAACAAGCTTACACTTCGCCAAGGAAGCTTGCCCTTTCGCAGCGCCTTCACTTGTTGACTGTCATGCGCAATATGCCATTTTGGAGGTGTTTTACTGACATTTGCAATGGAGGCAGTTCACTTTTAATTTCTGCATAATAAAATAATAATAACACAATATACTTTTATTTATAACCCGTCCTATCTCCCTGAAAGGACTCAGGGCGGTTTCCAATGAAAATAACAAATTGGCAAATGTTCAATGCCTCCAACTTCCTAATTTAGTAAAAACAGCCTCATGTCATCCTTTGTCATCCCACTTTTTCAGGTGATTTTTAAATGTCTCCATTTATCTATCCTCCTCCTCCCACTTCACCTCTCTGTTCTCCGCTTACTTCCACTATTGAAAGTAGAATTTAAAAGTAATTTGAACTCAATTGACTCCGCAGTGGAGAACAGAGAGGAAGCAGCAAAATTTTACCCTTCCCAGTAGACTTGGGCAGAAGCAAACTGATGTAGCATCTCCTAGTTTGTATATTCTTCTTTATTAATGGCATAGTGTTATTGTGCCATAGTAAAAAAAACCCTTCCCTGGAAGATTTATAGTTCACCAAGAGGCTACCAATAAATATATGATTTTTCCTCTTATTAAACACCTCCCCTGGCCTTTCTGTGTCAGGAGAAACTGCAAGTCGCTTCTGGTGTGAGAGAATTGGCTGTCTGCAAAGGCGTTGCCCAGAGGATGCACGGGTGTTTTGATGCTTTACCATCCTTGTGGGAGGCTTCTCTCATATCCTTGCATAGGGTGCTGGAACTGACAGAGGGAACTCATCCGCACTCTCCCCAGATTCGAACCTGTGACCTGTCCTGTGCCGGCAGGACTGAAGTCTGACAGCTTCACTCCCTGGAGGTATCCAACCATTCAATAAATTGTATTTTGATTTTTGTGTAACTTGTGTATGTTTCAAATATGTACTTTATCTCTTTTCTCTATGAAATGTATATAAACTTTCAATGCCAAAAAAGAACAGACAAATAATAAATTGGACAATTGATAAAGAATAATAAAATAAAATTATAAAACAAACTAAAATAGCTAAAACATTAACATAAAGAAGCAAAACATAAGTGTTTAAAACACTAACTTCTTAAAAGTTAAAGGCATTAAAAACAAAAATGGTTTCCAACATCCAACAGGTAGAGGAAGGTGTCCAAGATCTCTAGACAATATATAGAGGTGTACTAGTCCTCCTCTTCTCTGGAAGCTAAGGTGCATAGGTGTGTTTTTAGAAGCTTTTTAAAGGAGAGGAGAGAGGGGGCCATTTTTAGTTCTTTAGGGAGGGAGTTCCAGAGGTGGGAGTGACCATGGAAAAAGCCTTCTCTCTCATTCCCACCAACCGTGCTTGAGATGGCGGTGGGACCGAGAGGAGGGCCTCCTCCACCGACTGCAGTGCTCGTGCTGGCTTGTATGCAGAGATGTGGTTTTTAAAATAGTCTGAGGCCGAACCATTTAGGGCTTTAAAGGTAACAACCATCACTTTGTATTGAGCCCGGAAGTAGAACAGCAGCCAGTGGAACTGCCATAACATGAGAGTTGTCCACTCCCTGTACGGCACTCCAGTTAATATTCTGCCTGCCGATTTCTGAATTAGTTGTAGCTTCCGAACTATCTTCAAAAGCAGCCCCATATAAGAGAATGTTGCAGTAATCCAGAAGGGATGTGACTAAGGCATGGACTACCATAGCCAGATCTGATGTCTCAAGGTAAGGGCGCAGCTGGCACATGAGTTTTAATTATGTGAAGGCGCTTCTGGCCACCACTGACACCTGAGGTTCCAGGATCAGCGATGAGTTCAAGCTCACCCAAAAAAAGCAGTGTAGAGATTTGAGAAATGAAAGAATAAGACTTAGGAGTTCTTATGGGTTGTTAATGTACTCTGAGTGTATTAGTATTCTTATAATTTACTAATCAAAATAACAAACAGCGTTTCTACAGCAGGCATGGACAAACTCCTTGAGGGCCAAAGTTTGCCCATGCCTGGTCTACACAGTCAAAATCATGCACATTGAGATCTGTAATGTGGATCCCAGCCAAATGAGCATTAAAGTAATAAGAAACTCTTCAGTGAGCTGGAAGGTTTTAGTTTCCAACAGAGAGGGTTTTTAATGAAACTTCTCAAAAATAAGAAAGCCATAAAATAATTATAACTGGGTTTTTAAATATTTCAAACCCATTTTCTCTCTTGGCCAGCTGCTTTCTCCTGCATGAGGGGAAACTTTATCTCATGACTCCCAAAAACATTCACAAAGTTTTATGTATCATTAGAAAAAGCCATGGCACTTGTGAAGAGGACATACAACTGACCATATTTAAAAGGTACAATGAGTCCAAATTAGGTCTTTAGATTATGTTTTATTGCAGCAATGAATGTGCTTTGTTAAACTATGTACCAATTCAAACTCCTTCCATTAACAAACTTGAGTGTAGATACTTTGTGGCAGGCTACATTTCTTCAATTCAAACACAAACTAATATGCTAACATGCCCATACATACTCTGATTTTCAAGCAACCACAGTGAATATGAATATTAGCAATATGGTTACCTTGAAAAATATCTGAAAACTATCTCTAGCCCCTTTCTACACTGCTATAAAATCCAGATTATCTGATTTGAACTGGATTATATGGCAGTGTAGACTCATATAATCAACTTCAAAGAAGATATTGTGGATTATCTGCTTTGATAATCTGGATTATATGGCAGTGTAGACTCATATAATCAATTTCAAAGCAGATATTTTGGATTATCTGCTTTGATAATCTGGATTATATGGCAGTGTAGAAGGGGACTGAGAATATTAAAAACAAATACGACATGTAAGATTATTTTATAATTAGATATAACAGTGCTATAATTAGATATGACAGTTTCATCTTTTCCCTCCCAAGAAACTGTTGTTCATTTAGAACTGTTTTGTATCTTGATAATAAATGCACAAGACATGGTTT